AGGGGGGGCCGGGGGGGGTGAATAGGAGATAAATAAGTATGACACATTGCAACTCCTCCTTTTTATCGTCGTCCTCCAAAATTCTTTTTGTCGACATCCCCTCAATGCGGCACGGTGTGTGTGTGTGTGTGTGTGTGTATGTGTGAGAGAAAGAGAAGAGGGGTTGACCGCTCGACTGTCGTTTGTCTGGCTGGCGTTTTGTCCGGGAGATGACTTTGTTTCGGTCGCCGACGTGAGCGTGCACGTCCTCCACTGCAGCGGCGCCTTTGTGATCACATCCCGCGACACGAAAACCGTTTTGAACCAGAAAATCTTTTTTTTTTCTTCTAATGAACCAGCCTGAATCCTTCCAAGCGTTCATTCTGAAGAAACGACCGGTTCCGCGTGACACGTTGTTGCATTCTTCCAAAGGTGGCGTCCGCTTGACTTTTGCTGAAAACGTCCAACCAAACACCCGCCGCAAACAGTTGACGCCGTAGCAAGTCAAACTCGGCTCAAATTGGCCACCGTGTTGGCCAAAATTCTCACCCAAGCTCACCGCCATGGCCGTTTGAAAACAAACGAACGCAGCCTCGATGGTGGTAGCGTTTATCTCGAGTGCCTTCGGTTCAAAGAAATCGAAGCCACTCCACTTGGGACAGCCATCGCCATCCTCCCAAGTCTTGAGTTTGCACATTGACATTTTTGGAGGCGGGGTTCCATTCCCGCGTTTTTTTCCCCGTCAACTTTGACCTTCATGCATCTCCACGAAAGCGTGGTCCGGTCTCACATGAACCCCAGCCCCCCGTCTCCGCCTCCACTTGCATAGCCGACAGAGAAGATGCGACTGTAGCCTTGCCACGCGGTTCTCTTTTGTGTGTTTCTGTAGCTTGGCCGCTGCTTTTTCTTTTCTTCTTTTCCCCCCCCCCCCCTCTCCTCTCCTTTGTGCTTGCGTTGAGCCTGCCCTCCTGAGAATTCAGTGGGATTCGGGACAAAAAAGTAACTCTCTGTCATGAGCAGAACGCTGTGTTATTTCGGGCGCTTCTTTTTGTTTTATTTGTCCGGATATTAATAGCATTGGCGGCGCTGGTGTCCGAGGGTGTTGCGGCAAGAGTTGACGCAGACGCAGTCATGCGCACGTTGCCTTTCAAACGCTTTGCTCTTTTTCTCGTTTGTGTCATTTTCTGCAAAATTGGGATGCAAACGCAACAGGGCGGGGGGTCGTTGTACCACTGAGAGATCACCGAATCAACGGTGAGCCAAAAGATGAGGCTCCAAAGTCACAGCGACGCATCTGGACTGATGTGGCGCCGCGGGCATATTGGAAAAGATCTTGCCGACCGGGTCTTGGAGCCATGAGGAATAAAGCTCCCAGCTGACCAAGCAGTTGAATGGGCCTGTGGCGTTGGGCGGCGTTTTACAACTTGGCGCGGAAAGTCACAAGAGAACAGTTGACGGATTGCTTTGGAAGCTATTTTCAACACCTTGAATGAGTTCCACAACATTGGCACGGATCCATCGTGTCCATTTATGAAAAAAAAGCAATTCTTTTTGCCCGACAGCAACCGCGTACAACTTTTAGCCGACAAAAAGAAAAGATCTCATAGGAGGCGGTTAGTCAAGGTCCCTATTGTTTGTGCCACTTGCGGCAAGGTGACACGTGGCCGTCCGGCTTCCATCGCTCGCGTCATCAGAGGAAGATGCCACGATATCGCGCTGGCGGGTCACACTTGTTCTTCTTTTCCTTCTGCGCGCCCTCACTTGCACGTGTGTCATTCCCAACCAACGAGGATGCGCAATGAGCGGCGGGTCCCGCTGGTGCTATCCCGCTTCCCCGAGACACACCGGCACGGGGCTAGCGGTGGGTGGGAGGAGGCTGATTGAGAAGCTCTGCCTGCCTGTGTGCGTTTGGGCGATTGAGGGTGGGGGGGGGCACTGCAGCAATCTGAGAAAGTAGGTCAGACATGGCAGAGGAGAAAAGAGCTACAGGAAAAGAGACGGAGAGGCAAAAAGGAAGCAGAATTCTTTGGCTGACAAAAAGTGGAGGATTTGAATGCGGCCTTTTGAATGGCCTCCTCCGTATGCGCCTGCGGGCCACCCTTGACTGCGGGACTCTCTTTTGGGCTCGGCGTTAGCTCAGGGCTTCTATGAATAAACGTCGATGGCGTTTCCGATGGACGCCACCGAAATGGCTTCGGGCTCTTTGAAGGAAGTTTGCATAAGAGGACGCGGTGGCCCGCACAATACGCGGAAGGCACTCAGGCTCCCGAACGGGATATATGGGCTGCACTTAAGTCTGAATTACCTTCCTCTTTTTGCGCTCCGGGCCATGTCTGTTTTATTATTTATTTGATGAAACACAAAGTATAGCGCATCTATAAATACACACGCACGCACACGCACGCACGCACACCGCGGCCCCACTGGAAACGGACTGCACCGGGGGAAAGATGGCGCGCTAACCTCGCACACAATGAAATTGATTCATCGGCGATTGCTCGGGCGCACGTCGGAAGTGCACTCGCAGTTGACGCAGAAAATTGCCTTCACCAGTCACGGCGGAAGTCTGCGTGCCTGCAGAAATCAACTCGCGGGATACTTGACAGAGGCTCAGCTGCGCTAATCAAATGTAGGAACGCAGTCAAGCCGAGTGGCATCTTATGCTCATTTCGAGCGTATTTCTGGAGTTCGTGAAAACAGCCGGCGCCGTGTACAAAGCGCCGTTGCACGGAGCGGGACTCGTTTAGTACCACAACAAACCGAAAAAAAAAATCCAGTCTCGCTCAAGTCTGAAAGCTGGCCAGCGATGCCCACCGCTCGGGCATTGCGTGCGTTTGGCCGAGGGCGCGGTGACCCCTTCGACGTCGCGCTTCCGTCTCCTTTCCATTTCGTCCTTCTCGTGAACGATCGCCACCGCCCACTGACGCCTCGCCGGTTTCTCTTTGCAGTACGTGGCGTTCGGCTCCCTCTTCTTCATCCTCATCTCCATCTCCACGTTCTGCATGGAGACGCACGAGGCCTTCAACACCATCCTGAACAAGACGGAGAACGTGACGGTGGGCAACCTGACGCGCGAGGAGATCGTCTACGAGGTGGTGACGGACAGCTGGCTGACGTACGTGGAGGGCGTGTGCGTCATCTGGTTCACCATCGAGGTCCTGCTGCGAGTCATCTTCTGCCCCGACAAGGTGGAGTTCTTCAAGAGCACCCTCAACATCATCGACTTTGTGGCCATCCTGCCCTTCTACCTGGAGGTGGGCTTGAGCGGGCTCTCCTCCAAAGCCGCCAAGGACGTGCTGGGATTCCTGCGGGTGGTGCGATTCGTGCGCATCCTGCGAATCTTCAAGCTGACCCGTCACTTTGTGGGTCTGCGCGTGCTGGGCCACACCCTGCGCGCCAGCACCAACGAATTCCTCCTGCTGATCATCTTCCTGGCGCTGGGCGTGCTCATCTTCGCCACCATGATCTACTACGCCGAGAGGATCGGCGCCCACCCGGACGACCCGGCGGCCAACGCCCACACCAACTTCAAGAACATCCCCATCGGCTTCTGGTGGGCCGTGGTGACCATGACCACGCTGGGCTACGGGGACATGTACCCGGAGACCTGGTCCGGGATGCTGGTGGGGGCCCTGTGCGCCCTGGCCGGCGTGCTGACCATCGCCATGCCCGTCCCCGTCATCGTCAACAACTTCGGCATGTACTACTCGCTGGCCATGGCCAAACAGAAGTTGCCCAAAAAGAAGAACAAACACATTCCCAGGGCGCCTCAGCCGGGCTCGCCCAACTACTGCAAGCCCGACGCCCTGGCCATGGCCACCGCCTCGCCGCAAAGGCTCTTGGGAAACGTCCTCGGCGGAGTGATGGGCTCCGGAGGCTTGGGGGGTGACTGTCCTCTCGCCCAGGAAGAAATTATCGAGATCAACAGAGGTGAGCTCCTTCGCTTTTGTCGCCCGTTTGGCGTCGGCGCGTCTCGCTCCAAAATCTCGCCCGCCTCGCCGACGGGAGGACTTTTTGCCAGCCTGTCGTTCCGCCACGCCCGATTCCGGAGCTATTCCGACGGGACGTTGAGCCGCGTTTTGACCGCGTTGCTCCTTTTCACGGC